TATCCACAACACAATTTACTTCATAGAATCATAGAATCCCTACAACATGGAAGCAGGCCATTCAGCCCATTGAGTCCATATCGACCCTCTGAAGAGCATCCCACCCAGACCCAACCCCTATCCGAGGGAGATCTTGAGTATGAGATGCAAGTTCCATCTTCAGCAAATTCAAGTGTTAAATGGCTGTGGAGCTACCACAATCAACGGGGATGTGTTACCTGCCATCTGAAATCTCCTGGCAATTAACTGTTTTGCTGTCCAAATGCTGCCAGGCCTCGCTGAATTTTCCAGCATTTTCTGTTTCAGTTCTAATTCTCAGCATCTACGGTGATGTGTTTTTAATTCACTTCTTTTACATTGTCATAATATTGAAGATCTTGATCTCTATCTTGAAGATCTTGTTACTCTATCTTTCTTAGTTGTAGCAAAAGTAACAGGCCTCGCCTCTGTAGCCTGACAACCATAACCCCTCATCCCTGGTTTATGGGAATCACATTTTCCTTGCCTATATAATTACGATTTTCCCATGTTCAGGTGGTCCTTGCACATAAATGCAGCTTCTGGCCTTATGCAATTTCTCCTCACATAGAGACACAAACTTTGAGTTTTCTACTTGTTATATATTTGTTCCGCCAATTTAAACAGGGAGAATTCCACTGAAATTCCCTGCCACTGATCACAAATTGAACTGTGATTCTACCAAAAAGAGAAGCCCTGACTGGGGAAGGACATAAAACAGTGAGAAATAAAAAAAACAATTTTCCCAACACTTCTTTTAAATGCATTGCGCTTCACCTGGAGCTTTTTTTTCTACATTTTAAAATTGCTCATGCAGCATTGCAATGTTGTAAGTTCATCAGGTAAAGAGAACTGATTACACGAAAAGTTGAGTGGTTAGATGCACGGCCCATTTAATGGGCAAGAGAGTAATCCACTCAATACCTAGGTAAAACAGCACAATGCAGCGTGTTTACCAACTCTGTTGTACTTATTGCCCAGGAAACAAAATAAGCTGCATTTGTTTACTGATGGTCATTGATCGATTGCTCTTTAAAGTCAATGACAAGCACAGGTGTGTGCAAACACCCAAAAGGCATCCAGAATTTCTCAATTTCCATTACTATCCGTGTGGAACAAGCATAACATCTGTCTTAAAACCTTTATGTTGTTTCACCTCTATCTTGTATGACTGAATTCATTAAAATACAATGGTTGAATTTTGTACCAGTCCTTCTAATGTTACAATCAATTCTCTCTACTTTGTCATTCACTTTAGCCGAGAGTTAACAACTAAATAATGTTTATCTTTCCATAAAAATCACTCTATTTGACACTCTAGTTCCTACTACAGTTCCTTCCCTATCTTGACTGCTGTGGATGGTTATGCTACCTGGAGCTATGGTTCTGATCTTATTTCATTCTGCTATATACTGCTCTCAACAATTCTTTTATTGATACCTTTGAGTTCATTACTAGTATAAAATATTGTAATATTTTCCCATCTAGTTGGCTTAAATGAGACCAAAAATTTTACAACTTTCTGTTCAATGTATTCGGCGGTTAACCAGTGACTTTCACAAATATGATACATCTCCTTCAGCAAGTAATCTTCACTTTAGCATATATATTTTACACCAAAAAGCAATTCACAAGACTATATTTCCTTAAGTACATGAAGCTTTACAGTCTCCAAACAGTCACCAAATGATCTCTTGCTTACATTGGGCTGTAAAAGCCCATTATATTTTGATAACTGATGAATGGTGTATCTGTATGGCACCCTCTTTGCATTTAGTCATTATACTTCCTTTATGTCTCGTTCATCTGCCAAACTCTCAGTTGAATTTCTTTGTTTCACATTCTTTACCTAATCCCTGAGCTGAGCTCGCTGTGTTAACCTCTTTGCTAAATACTCTGTAATTTGCATGGCTTTCTGGATGCATATATATGTTAGGCATGTGCTTAGATATTGTAATATGAGCTTTGGGTACCAACCACTGGTGGCTTGGGGTTGGAGGAGTTTATTTCCTCCAATCCTCCTTTCTATCTGGGTCTAGGGGCCAGTCTAATCATCATTGGTAGAGAATAAACTGCTCAAGAGTCTTACAAGAAGCACTTCCCTGCAAAACATGGTGTGATTTATAAAAGTACAAATAACATTAAATAGTTAGACATGTTTATAACTATCAGGAGCCAGAGAACATACATCTGTCTCCATTGATAACGTATGTAAAACTTGTCCAATTCTCTACCGAAAGCTGGTGTTATATCATCACATTTCATAAAACTAATGCAACTTCAACATTAATTCTTTCAGAATCATTTACCTTATACAAAATGTTGCTAAAGTTATTTTCCTTATAGTTAGAATAATATAACAACTTCTACAATTATGTATTTTTGGGGAAAAAAAAGCCATATTTTGTCACTGCTTTTCGACTTACACCCATCATGGTATTTCACAATTCAAGGTGAAAGCCAACATTTATGCTGCTGATTGGTTGGCAAATGGAGTCTGGTACAGGTGTTACCATGTCAACTACATCCATTAAACCTGATTGATTGATTGATTGTTAACAATTTGAAATTTTAAACCAGGCAGTTTGATTTTGATTGATGAGGGCATTGCCCTGAAAAATGAACCAGTGAATGGCCATCACCTATTTTGTTAAGTTGAAACAGGCAGTGTGTGCATGCTCATTCTTTCTAGGAAGAACAGATCCCTGATAATCACCTGAATCTTAACCTTAACTATAATATTAGTCTCTTGAATTTCCTTTACAGGTAAATGCTTTCCTTGCTAACTCATGGAGCTGACCCCATAACATCATCTGGGAGACCTATAATCTCATGAATGTAAATCAAGGAAAATGGCTATGCTGTTGCAACAAATTCTTCCTTCCTTGCAGAATTTTGTACTTCTGAACCGGGCAATTTCTTAGTTTTAACTACGTCATAAATCTCTGAATGTTAATCTAAATTCTATAGCTTTGTTTACGAAGGTCATCTCCATTTTGTTGAAGCAATTCTTTACTCTTAATCTGCCTATACGTCTGAATTATTCAACTTGTTCATTAGGCTGAATATCTTTGTTTGCCCTCTGCAGCTGTCTCTCTGATGAACTATATATTATCAAATGCTTAGTTGCGTTACTTGAAGGGGATTATTGCTCAACTATCTCCATTTCTGTCACCGGCACTGACACTTCTGCTTTGAGAGACAATGGATTGAAATGTTCCTTAGTGATGATAGGACTGGTGGAAATGTTTTCTATTCCTGTAAATCTTAACTTCCTTCCTGTTCTAGATGGCATTCTTGTGACAAAGGGAAAGTGACGATTATGGGTGATCTTAATCTACATGTAAACTGGAAAATAAGATTGGTAATAGGAAACTTGATGAGTCTTTGGATAATTTCTCCAAAGCATTCTTAGAGAATCACATTCTGGAAATCAGTCATAGAGCAGGTTATATTAGACTCACAGGATTAATTAATAACCTCGGAGAAAAGATACATCTAGGTGTCAGTGATCACAATATGATTGAATTTTTTTGAAAGGGAAAATAGGGGGTCTAAGACTAGCATTTTAAACCTAAACAAGCACAACGATATAAGCATGAAAGCTGAGCTAGATGAAGTGAATTTCCCGCTTGTTGAGGTCCATTCCTCTCGGTGCTTTGGGACCAGCTTGTTTACCCGATTTTAATGTCCTGGCTGATGCTTCTCACTGACCTCCCTAGTGTTGTGTTCATGAATTTGAGAAATGACCTGTTCATGAGACTCTGTCTTTTAAATTGGCTTAGTCATCCCTATCTTTGCTCCTAGATGGGCTGTCCACTTGCATTGTTACTTTCCCGTTAAGGGAGTTTAAACAGGCCTTATGTGCATGTAAAGTCATGTTGTCTTCTCTGCCTGGACTTCTAAATATTACCAGTTAATAGTAAAGGTGTGATGAGATTTGTACTGTTGGTCTTCCCGAACACAATAAAGCTGATACTGACCAAGGTGATTTTGTATGTTATCTGTGTTTTCATTTAAGATCCTAAATGTGACAAGACATCCAAGAGCAACCCATCCCTTGATCTTCTAATCTATCAGTCTGAAGCAATATGTGTAAAAATACACCAATATAGAAATACGGGAAAAAAAAGCTACAATTTGTCAGCTCACAATCATAAAGGATTAGTGTAAAATGGAAAATGAGACACTTCCTTGCAATTGAAAGTATTTGGAACACACTGAGACATTGTTCCCCATGTAAATTACTGACAATCGAATATCAAAGTGGGAAAGTGAATGTTTTCCAGAACTATCATCAATGACTTTTTTATCCAAGAAAAAATTAGAAGATTATGGGTACTTTAGATAGGGTAGATAAGAAGCATTAGTAGAGGGGTCAGTAGCCTGTGGTATAGATGTAAGTTCAGATGTGGAAAGCCTCAGTGGGTGGTGGGAGTGTTGAACGTACTGTGTTCACACATTGTTTGAAAGGGTAGTTGAGTCAGAAACTTTCAACATTTAATTGGTATTTCAATACTCACTTGAGTTGGAATAGTCTTCAGGGACATGTGCCAAACCTGGAAAATGCAGTTTGTGTAGTCAGATCTTTGTTGACTGGCCCAGACATGATAGGCCAAATGGCCTCCTTCTGCTCTGTAAATGTTTATGTCTACTATTTACAACGTATTGCCACTCTCCACAATTTTTAAATTTTTGATCTTTCAACAAAGAATGGTGCCAATAGTTTTAGCTGAAGAAAGGTTGTGTTTATTGTTGCTGTTTTATTTCTTTTATAGATGTGGCCATTTCATATTGATATTATGATTCTTGGTGAACTGCATCTGGTTTGCATTTCTAATAGTATCACACGCAAATATGAAATATCAAATAGAAAATGCACACAAAAATATAAATATAATATTTCAAACCTGAAACCTTTTTCTAGCATTGAATGATAATAGTGATTACTATAGTAAAAATGTTATTAAATTCTTTTATAGGATCCTGATGCAACAAGAATGGAAATCAAGTTTTCAATGGAGTCTAACTATGATACAGTTTGTATTAGTGAGACCTTTGAAACACTGATCACTTAAATTAAATGAGTAAATAGCCTTGTACATAATGGAAGACACTCACACTACCCAACAATTGCATAAACCTATCAAAGAACACTGCTTTATCAGCTTCTATTGCCCTGGGGGAGAAGCCAAGTGGAGCCCGTGCAAGTGCAGTACTTTGCTAGATGGCTGTATGAAATGTCTTCCAAAGTACAAACAAGTGAAGGAGGAGCCAGAGATCGGGAAACAGAAAGGCTTGTGCTCTGACAACACAGCCTACATTCAGAAGCAAACTTCCACAGCTAACGCTGTGAAAGAACTGTGTGCAGGCTCCTTACGTACAGTTGAAAAACAATCATTATTTTCTGATGTGTTAAGGCCAGCTTGCAGCCAAACTTCAAATATGGGAAATCAGGATGGAAAATTTGAGGATGTTCTGGAGACAGAAAATAAGCAGAATGAATGGGAACAAGATTGTGGTGCATTCGCTCTACAGCATTCGTGGTCTTCTGAACGAAAAAAAAGCGATGGCAAGATCAAAAAACTGAAAAAGCTTGGCAGAAGAAGAGAGAGCACTGAGGAGCCTTCGTGTAAAGCTGTAAAAAGTAAAAAAATTGTGGAATCAGATCCTTCTATTGTATGTGCGGAAGAAATATCACTGCTGAGAGATGAGATGTGCACAAATAGCTCTGTAAGCAATTCTCCTAATTCAGTTAATTATAGCAAAAGCAAAAAACTCCAGCCAGCCATGGACAGTATTGACTTGCTGCCGGGAATGAAAAGGGCCACGTCAGAGGTACTGAGAGGGAACTCAAATTTTCAGAAAAACACCGGAATAGCTGGGTTAAATACTGATTGCAACTTTAAGTCAGAGCTCAATGATGAATTTATTACTGAAGATTTAGTGACCAGTAGTAACAGTTTATTGGATGATTTACAAGGTACCATAAAGCTCCTGCAAGACCAGCATGATAGTGACTTGCAAAGAAAGCAGATGGTTGAGAAGTTAACAGACAAAATCTGTGCCACTACGCTATCAACAAATTTACCTTCAGATTACCAGCATCACTTTGAAGTTGAACCAACTCATGAGGAAACAGTAGCCACAGTGGTTGCCAAAATACATGATGCAGGAATGGTTGTGCAAAACGTTGTTCCAACTACTTCAAGACAAGAACAAAGTCCAAGTTATGGACTTTTTGCAGATCAATCAGTGCAAAGTTGTGGCAAGGAACAAAATATCTTCACAGTGGTTACTGAAATGCAGAGTGAAAGTCCGGCTGTTTGTCACGTTGTCACAGTACCTGTGACAGATGTGGAATGCAAGATGACTGTGATGTGTGGCCGAGAGTCAGACAGTGGTAGAAAAGTATTTAAATGTGAAGGGAGAGAAATACCAATGGTCTCAGATTCAGAGGCATTTACTGGGTATGTCAACAAGCATCTGATCAATACTGTTGAGAATGACCAGTTTTATGAAGCAGGTGAATGGCACAGAATGGAAAAAGGCAAGCCACACGCAAATAGAACTAATTGGACTTCTGACAATAGAAAATTAAGGTATGGAGAATTGAAAGAAAAACTGTTCCCAAATCCACTTCAGTCTGCTGATGAAATTTCCTTGGATGACACTTTGAAGGAAGACAACAAAACTGCTTCTCTACCTTTACTGACAGCTGTTAGTAATATTTTTAACAGTCCATGCCCTGCTAATAATACTCAGCATCATGTTTCACCTGTTGCATCCCCTTTGACTTCAGGATTACCTAGTCCTCAACTCCATCACAGGATTCTCCCACTACCTGTATTAGAAACAGAACAGAAAACCACACAAGAGGACTACTCAAAGCCCTATGCATCCATTTACAAATGTACTGCGTCAAAAGAAAAAGAAGTGGGACAAAACTTAGAAGGAAGTATTTTGCAGCAAAATCTCAGCAACACAAATGGAAAGTTTCAGCAACAACACTGTGTGGAACAAGATGCATTAGCTCACTATCTGGCACTACAAGGTTTGTCAAAACATTTTTGAAAATTCATATAATTGCTTCATTTTGACTGTATTATATGCATTTACTTTTTGTCCAATTATGTAATTAAGAAAACATAAACTGGAAGCCTGGCAGAGGAAATAAAGAAGATGCATTGTTAAAATTCTATGCCATTTTGTAATCATCACTGCCAATCTATAGATTGCATTACTGTTTCTGTGGATCAAGTGAAATGTAACATTCGTAATACATAAACAGTTTAAGTGCAACCAATGCAGACTTCCCCAGTTAATTTCTCTTGCATGGGGTGCTCATGCTCAGTTTCTGTTGGGTCCTGAGTTGACCACCACAGGCTTTTATAATGTGGCAATTAGATGATGCCATAAAAAGCACTTCCCCAGCTGAATTTTCTTAGTTCCAGTGTCTTATGGGTAATACTCTGAATACTTGGATAAACCACCCTCCAGGTTCTTGTTAGGAACTAGAGTCCATTGTGACCTTCATGATGGAGAGGTGACTGGAAATTTCTGGAATTAGTTCTCTATTTTTGTTTTCCTAAATCTTTTTCTCTGTCTCTCTCTCTCGTGCACGAATACAACATACACACACTCAATCGTAAGCAGAGCTACATCCTTTGGGATCTGGCTGTTTGTGATGCCCGCAGTTATGGTGCTTTGTCTTCCTCCGCGTTGAGTCCCACCAAGAGACCGTTCCAAGATGCATCAAAACTGGGGTATTAGTTCAAATAGATGACACCTCTGGATGTCTGGTCAGAACAAGAGGTCAGCTGTTACTGCGGAGGGTCCAAAGTTCTTACTTTTAGGTTCTTGTTGTCTGTTGCATTACCCTAACAATTTGCTGTGTTCAACAGTCTGCAGCATCCCTTGGAAGTGTTGGTATCAGTGAATGCACATGATTCAGTGAGATGAATGTCTTGTGATCAGTTCTTGCATCTCATATTTTTGCAATGGGAAAGCTTCATATAGCAAAACAAAGCTCCCTTTTATTATTATGGATGAAAGAAATTTGAAAATGTCTGTGATTTGACTTGCATTTATATTGAGATACTGTCTGGTACAACATCATTTTACAAGTGTCAATAATTTAGCTGAAATAACGTTTGCATTGTACCAAATACTTGTTCATTTGTAGCCTTTGTGAGGCAGCATTTTTTGACTGCTTAACTGTGCTTACCAAATCCAACCCGAAGATACAAATATAATTGGTATGTCTTCACAGCATGAAGTGCCTTGAAAGAGTACAGTTATGTAGTTCAGCAACATGTGATTCAGTAGACATCCATGTGAGGCAAATTGGGATAAAGAAGTAGCAGTTTAGTACCTCATGCTGATTCGTTTATTAACATGTTCCTGTTTGAAGATTTTGGAACTAGTTTAATCAGAGTCTAATTATTGACTTTGTAGGGTTGTACCATGTATTTCCTGCTGATGATTTACCCATTCTGAGGTTCTGCTATATTCTCAATCCTTTGGTGTAGGAATTATACATATATTTTGACTTGTGATTTAACTTTTCAGGAAGACACAAGATTCTGGAAATATGTTGTTTTGAGAGCAAAACTTACATTAGACATAATAGAAAATAATAAGACTGAAGAATATTGAGTAGATTTCCAATGGCCAAAGAATTAAGCTGATAAATGGATGGAGTCCCGTGACCTGTTCTGAATTCTGTTGACTGCTAGTCTAGTTGCTTGGGTGTTTAAAAATTAAAAATACAATTATTGAAATTGCTTTTAGTCAATGTTGCTTTTAATTTTTGTCACAGTAAGTGTCTTGCAACCCTGTCTTAACTTTTTAAAAGGAAATTTGAATATTGGTCTCTGTTTGGAGTACTAGGAACACTGTAAGTGTGAGTTTATTCACTTCAGAAGCAAAAACAAGAAGGCAGATTACTACCTGAATGCCTGTAAATTGGGAGAGGGGAATGTGCAGTGGGACCTGAAGGTAAGCATGCAGGTGGTAAAGAAGGCAAATGGTATATGTTGGCCTTCATTGTGAGAGGTTTTGAGTACAGGAGCAGGGATGTGTTGTTTGTTGTACAGGGCCTTGGTGAGATTTAGATTATTGTGTGCAGTGTTGGTCTCCTTTTCTGAGGAAGGATGATCTTGCTCTTGAGGGAGTGAAGGTTTACCAGGCTGATTCCAGGGATGGTGGATCTGATGTATGAGGAGAGATTGTCTAGGTTGGGATTGTTTTCGCTAGAGTTCAGACAAATGAAGGGGTGGGGGGTGGGATTTAATAGAGATTTATAAAATTCTAACAGGACTGGACAGGGTAGATGCAGGGAGGATGTTCCCGATGGTGGGTGTGTCCAGCACGAGGGCTCACAGTATGAGGATTCGGGTTAGGACGATTTAGGATGGAAATGAGGAGACATTTCTTCACCCAAAGAGTGGTGAGCCTGTGGCATTCATTACCAAAACATTGAATGTATTCAAGAGGTGACTAGATATAGCACTTGAGGCTAATGGGATCTAAGGTTATGGGGAGAAAGCAGGATTAGGTTATTGTGTTGGATGATCAGCCTTGATTGTGAAGAATGGTGCATCATGCTCGTAGGGCTGAATGGTCTCCTCCTGCTCCTATCTTCTATCTGGAATCTAAAGAGACCAAGATTAAGAAAACAAAAGCAGGGAGGAATATAGAGAACGAATAACAAACAAAGCAAGAATTCAAGGCAATGAGTATAAAGATGAGGACAAGACGATATGACTATCAGAGGAAGTGATTTGTGTTTGAAAATAGCTTTCTAGAAGCTGAATGTGATCTATGATCAGATCTGGCAGAAAAGCTGTGGATCAACCTTAAGCCCATCTTGAAACAAAATATATTGGCCACTTTTTTTAAAGAGTTGAATTCATGATCATTTCCTTGAAGAATTGAATTACCAGCATTAACTGACTGGTTATTTTGAAGCACCTTCTGGTGAGAGGATATGAAGATCTAATAGTGATGAATGAAAAATCTTGTTCAAATCTTCCTGCTTGTTACCTGACAAATGCAGTGTATCTAACTTTTTAAAAATGCAATGTTAAACTTTCAATATTTTGATATTGCATTTGATGCAGTACAACATGGCCCATTGAATTTTCTTTTCTTTTTCCTTTTATTTTCACAAACCATATATGAAGCTTAGTGACAATTCAGTTGTAGACTTAATGGATCACAAAATCTTGGTCAAATTTAAAATGAGAATTCAAAAATTAAAATAGCTCAACTTATTTTTATGCAAGATCTATTTGTAACAGGTGGTGGCTGAATCCTTTTCAAAAACATTTTTACTCAGCTGATTCAGATATATTTTGACATGGAACAGGTGGGACTTTAACCTGAAAGTTCATGAGAGCCCCTCAATATGTATTTTATCCATATGCTGTGGGAAAAAAATAGTAGAGCATAGGTTTGCATGTGGAAATAGTAAGTGCTAGTAATACTAACTAGATCAAGCAGCACAGATAGCAGGAACTGCAGATGCTGGAGAATCTGAGATAACAAGGTGTAGAGCTGGATGAACACAGCAGGCCAAGCAGCATCAGAGGAGCAGGAAAGCTGACGTTTCGGGCCTAGACCCTTCTTCAGAAGTGGGGGAGGGGCAGGGGGTTCTGAAATAAATAGGGAGAGAGGGGGAGGCAGATAGAAGATGGATAGAGGAGAAGATAGGTGGAGAGGAGACAGACAGGTCAAAGAGGCGGGGATGAAGCCAGTAAAGGTGCGTGTAGGTGGGGAGTTAGGGAGGGGATAGGTCAGTCCAGGGAGGACGGACAGGTCAAGGGGCGGGATGAGGCTAGTAGGTAGGAGATGGGGGTGGGGCTAGGTGGGAGGAAGGACTGGTTAGGGAGGCGGGGACAAGCAGCATCATTGTAGAGAGAAATAAAATTCATATTTCTTGCTGATGGCCTACTGTATTAACTGGTAGACATTTGAAGTGTAACAAGAGCAAAGATGGACAAGGTGTGGGTACAGCGAGAGACATTCTAATGAAGTTGACCATGGTTAAGAAACAGCACCTCATCTTTCAATTGGCACATGATGTTATTTGTGATTAGTTGTGTGCAGATGGTGGCCATTAACTGGGATTCTGATGCTCCTATAACAAGGGGTTTTGTGGTGTATCGGTAGTGTCCCCACCTTGGAGCCAGGAGACCCAGGTTCAAGTCCTACCTTACAGGTTGATTCAAGAAGATCTTGCTCCACTGGCAGCAGAGCACGAACGTCATTAAAAAATCTGTGATCTAAAACAAGGGTTTTTGTGGTGTAATGTCCCTACCTCTGAACCAGGAGGCCAGGGTTCAAGTCCCACCTGCTCCAGAGGTGTGCAATAACATCTCTGAACAGAGAAATATCTGAATAGAGAGATACAGCTATAATATGAAAGAGGCAATTGGACATCTCGACATTTAGGGTTCAGGGAAAGGCTTTTCACCTCATTCTGTGCTGGCTGGAGAAAAAATGCCATGCTCCTAATACAGGCCACTTGTGGTTGGTACCGTTACATACAACCCTCGTCATTCAGTTAGAATGTTGAGTCCCATTTCCATCCATCAATATAAAACAAAAAAAAACACTAACAAATTGAAACTGGTTGTTGGATGCAAGACCCCCTACCTAGTCTAAAGGTTTGTGGTCATACTCTGAATACCAATGGCAGACATAAAATCGTATACTGTTCAACTGTAGTTGCACCTTTTATTAAGGTCAGAGCAATTGTACCTATTCAGTGATACTAGCTACTTAGTAGTCCTTTGAACTGGAGTTTGTCTTGGGCAATTGATTCCTCAATTGGGCCTTCCCATCTTTTTGGGGTTATTGATCAGATCTTCCTACCCAACACTGCCTTGGTGGCTTTGTGATTTTTAAAATATTGTTACCTAAAAATACCACAAACAATGAGACCCTAATAGAATTTACTTCTTTTTGCAATCCCTAACAATGTCAAAAGCAATTGTCACAATATTTGCCAGTGAAAAATCTATGCTACTGTTTTAATAGTTAATAAAT